CTGGTTTTCTGCTTTATTTCTAACATGCTCTGTAGAACATGGAGGATGTCCAATAAATAAGTGAATAGATGAACGAGTGAGTGTGTGGTATGTTAGCCATGTCTGCCATGGGCAGGAGCTTAGCAGGTAGCCCAATATTTGACCCCTAGAGATGGTCTCTAAATTTGCTTTCAGTTCTGACTTTATAATTTTAACGGGATCAGGAATGTGAAAGGTCTTTGTAAGGTGTAAACTATTTTAAGGAAAAAAAAAGTTTGTATTAGTGACTTCTCTCCCCAGCTAGAATAAAATCCCTTGGGAGCAGGAGCCCTAATTTAGTCCCAGATTGTAATAGTCCCCAGAGGGTAAATTCTGTCAGGCAGTCCGGAGAAGTTGGGCAGAATCTAAGAGGCCCTCCCTCCTGGGGCTTTTGCTAGATTTCCCTAAAATAGCGAACTTCCCTGTGTCTTTGAAAGTTTTCATAACAAGAAAAGAGTGGAGAGAAAGAAACCCGCAGTGAGTAAATGAGTCAAATGGGGGAAGACCACGAGGCACACTGGGAAATCTGCCTTTTCAGTCCCTCGTTTCTTCAGCTGCATTTAATAACATTTGAGTTTCTGTTCTTGGTCCGCTTCCCTCTGGCACTGAGGAGCTCTGACTTAGCATCCCAGCAAGCCCTGAGGGTGACGATCCAGTCTCCCCAGCTCCCGTGCTCTTGAACGCGAGTGCTGCTGTCTCTGGACATCCGGGGGCTGGGAGAGAGGGTGGTTTCCTCGGCCAAACCTGCCCAAATTGGCGGGCCTGTTTGAAAAGTTTGCATTTTTCATTGGGGAGGAATGAAAAATTGAAACCGTACAATCAAATGTTTCTCTCCTAAAGGATAATTGTATGTACATGGAAGTGGGCCGGGTAGTGAGGGGAGGGCGAGGTCACATGTTGCAAGGGAACCGCTTCAGGAAAGGTCTCAGGGTTGCCGCGATTTTCCTAAAACCCTAAACTTATGACTTTTGGCAGAATTAATGGTCCTTAACCGAGAATTACAAGACAGACCAGGCCCCGGGGAAAACTAGCTCTGACTATTCCCCTCTCAGGGGAAGGCTCATTGGAAACACTCTGAGAGATGGCTTAATTTTTTTTTTTTTTTTTTTTAATTGAGACGGAGTTTCACTCTGTCACCCAGGCTGGAGTGTAGTGGCACAATCTCAACTCACTGCAACTCCTGCCGCCCTGGTTCAAGCGATTCTCCTGCCTCAGCCTCCCGAGTACCTGGGATTACAAGCGCCTGCCGCTGTGCCCAGCTAATTTTTGTATCTTTAGTAGAGATGGGGTTTCGCCATGTTGGCCAGGCTGGTCTTGAACTCCATACCTCGTGATCCAACTGCCTGGGTCTCCCAAAGTGCTGGGATTACAGGTGTGAGCCACCGCGCCCAGCCAAGATGGCTTAATTATTAATATTTACGATAGAGATTTTTCTAGGAGCAACGCCTCCTTGGAAAACCAAAGTTAGATCAAGAAGAGGCCTTTGGTAAGTGTTGGGGGCGGGGAATGGGCCGTCGCTGCTCAGAAATTCTTCCATTGCCTGGTTTAATTTTCCTAGTGGCACCTGATATTTCCTTGCATGTTTAATTGCTTATCTATTGTCAGTCTCCATAAGAACAAAGACCTTGCCAGTCCTGTTGGTTGCCTGATTTCCAGCTCCTGGAATACAGCCTGGTAGGTGACAGGCCCTCAGTAACTACTGGTTGAATGACTAAATAATTGGAGAGGGGTGAGTGTGGGCTCCAAACACCCAGCCCTCACTTCCCCACTCAGGAATACCGGTGGTGGTATTCTCCCCACTTCTTCCCATTCACCCCTTTCACGTCATCTCCCTGCTGGAATTGTTACATGGTTTCCCATCTTTTGGATAAAATCCAAAACCCACTGCGCTCACCGGTACCTGGCCCCTCCCTCTTACTATATAGCTGCTGCTTTTTTCTTTTTCCCTTGTTACAGAAGTACTTCAAATAGTCTCCTCATAGAAAATGTGCTTCCTCACACCGCTGTGTCCGCCCCTGCCTTGCCCTGTTCTACCTGGTCTGCTCCTAATCCTTCCCCATGAAGCACGTAGCCTCTTCCAGGAAGCCCTCCATTACTCACCCAAGCACACTTCTCACATGGTGCTGTTATATTCTGTTCACATTTCAGTCTTTCTTGGGACTAGGTGTTTTTCTTGTCATCGGAGGATTCTCAGCACCTAGTTCAGCAATAGCAGATCTTAAAACGTGATTTGTGCACTGAATATTGTTGGAAGTGCTTCTTTTTAAAGCAATTACAGCAATAATTACATGATATGGTCCTCTACGTATTCAAGGACCTCCACTATTTGAGAACAGAAACTGACATTTTATTGGGTCCCAACTAGTTGCCATAGTATCAGGTACCTAGTTGGGACCCAATAAATGTTATGGTTTTTATTTATTCTTTAATCGTCCCCCTACCCCCTAAAAAAACCTGGGAGGTAGATATTATCTCCATTTTACTGGTGAGAGAACTAAAGCTCAAAGAATGTTAAAAATTGCACAAATTTACACAATCAATAACTGGTCTTTTATCAAAGAAGGTAAAGTTTCAGCTCTTGTGCACATGATCATGTGAATGATTTCACAGTATTACACAGGAGAAGCCAAAGTTCTGAATAATGGAGATGCTTAGTGACCACAGGACACGGACAAGCCTCTGAGTAACTGACGAAAGATTTGTGTTTGGTGCCATTGTCTTAATTACCATGTCATCAACATATTGACTTCTATTGCTTTTAAGGCTTTCCTCTTTATCATTGTAATCTCCCTTTATGAAGGAGATGAAGGGGTTGTCTTGTTTAAAGACCTGCTTTGCAGATAAAGCACTGACAGATTAAGCCAAACAGTGTGGCTCTAGCACCAAACAACTTTTTTTTTTTTTTTTTTTTTT